CTGTTGCACTACCCTTGGCACCCGGCCGGCTTTCCATGCATGGGGGGGAAGAGGAAACCAGGGTTTCAAGGGGGGGGAATAGAAGAAGGGGGTAGCAGAGGGGAAGGGAAAGAAAGGGGAAGGGCTGCAAAGAGAGAGGTCAAAAAAGGATGGTGGGTAGGAAAAGAGGCAGAAATATCTCCCAGGACCCAGTGTGGGAAAGGGAAAAATGTCTGAAATCTGGTCTCCATCCTGGGGGGGGGCGTTGATCCAATCCCCCACTTGGACCCCCTCCAGGCCTCGTCTCTGCTGGACCAAGTGATGGGGGTGTCTCTCTCTCTCTGGGTCCACCTTGGCCTTTCCCCCCTGGCATCTCAACCATCCTGGACAATGAGCGATTGTCCTTGCAGGGCCAGGAGCGGATGGCCCCGGGGGGGGGGGGAGAACAACCGGCCGATTGTCCGGTGGGGTGCCTTTTGGGAGGCCAGGGAGAAAGAAGGAGCTATGATGGGGGGCCACGCTCTCTCCATCCTTCCAGCGTGGGAGGAGTAGGAGTAGGCGGGAGCGAAAAAAGGAAAGAAGGCCCGGGATCCCAACTGGGGCCCGAAGGAGGCGCTGGAGAGCAGAAGGGGGGGCCGTGTCGCCTTCTCAGGTTCTGTTGGACTACAGGTCTCATCAGCCCTGTGGGCTGGGGAATGATGGGTGTTGCAGGCCGGCACTACCAGAGGGAGGGCCAGTTGGAGAGGCGGAGAGCTTGACCAAATAAGGAAAAGCTGGACACGTTTTGATTTTTCCCCCACATAGTTTTATTGAAAAGTTGGTGGGGGAAGAAATGATAAATAAGAGAGGATTTTTCACTTCTTCCAAAAAATCTGGAGGACATCAACACGGTGGATGCAACAGAATTGCAGCCATGGGGAAACAGGATAAGGTCAAAAGGAGCTACCTTGATATACAGACAGGTGTGAGAATACAAACGTGCCATAGGGAGAGGGTGTAGAAGGATAAACCCTGCCTAGACTTTCTCACAACAGACGGTTTTGTAACAATTCCTGCCATCATCTCCTTCGAAAAGTCTACGCCGGTTTTTTCGCCAGTCCTGAAAGATTTTCCTTGTGGGCCGTTTCAGGTGGACAACTTTTTTTGCTGACTGTGGATGGGGTGGGGTGGTTTCCGTTTGAAATAAATAAAGGAAGACGAAACTTTTCTCTTGACCCAAGGATAAAATGGCAGGGCCCCGGGTCCCTTTCGCCTAGAACTAGAAGTGGAGGTGCAACATCGTTGGCAACTGACATTTGATTCAGGTTGCCAACTTTTTTTTGCGCCGAAGCTTCTGTGCCCTTAACAATGGAATGAGAGATAGAAATTCCACAGCATGGAAATTCAGGGCTGAGGAAATTATTGACATGTTATACTCTTCCTGCTGGCTTGCGGATGTCAGAGATAGAGTAGCCATCGGTTTACAAGAGGGAGCAGTTTTCCAAACACCTACAGTCTCCTCCAAGCACTTACTTTCGTCAGCATAAAAACCTGGTGATTTACAAAATACCGCTCTAAAGAGTCCCTCTGTAGATTTATTTATTTAAAATATTTCTATCCCACCTTTATCCTTTTTAAAAAAAAGCTTTGGTGTTCTGTCCTGTCAAGTTGGAACTAACTTATAGCGACCCTGATAGAGCTTTCGAGGCAAGTGAGACATTTAAGGAGCAATTTTACTAATTCCACTCCAAAAGGGAGTTTCCATGGCCGAGTGGAATTCGAATCTGGTTCTCCAGAGTCCTAGCCTGTATATCCGCTACAACATCACACTGGAAATCTCTTTTTTAAAAGCTTACATCCCCAAAATACAACATTTAAACAGTACATAATCAAAAGTAAAAAGGGTCATACATAAAGGGTCATACATGTACCATAGTAAAAAAAAAAAGGTCTAGAAAAGCAACACCAAAAACATATTCAAAGGAGCAAAAGCACAACAGTCCATTTAAATATCCCAATCAGGCAGCTGATCATGGAGGGGGAAAGCTTCCCTGAAGAGAAAGGTCTCTACCTGCTTGCAGAAGGATAGCAAAGATGGGGCCAGGCTGGCCTCCAGTGGGAGGGCGTTCCAGAGTCTAAAGGAGCAGCCACAGAGAAGGCCCTCACCCATGTTCCCACCAAACACATCTCTGAAGGTGGCAGGACTGAGAGATGATTTTAATATCCGGGGAGGCTCGTAAAGGGAGAGGCAGTCCTTGAGACAGCTTGCACCCAAGTCCATTAGGGCTTTATAGGTTAGAATGGGCTGGCCTCCAGTGGGAGGGCGTTCCAGAGTCTAAAGGAGCAGCCACAGAGAAGGCCCTCACCCATGTTCCCACCAAACACATCTCTGAAGGTGGCAGGACTGAGAGATGATTTTAATATCCGGGGAGGCTCGTAAAGGGAGAGGCAGTCCTTGAGACAGCTTGCACCCAAGTCCATTAGGGCTTTATAGGTTAGAATGGGTGAATTGGGCTCGTAAAGGGAGAGGCAGTCCTTGAGAGAGCTCGCACCCAAGTCCGTTAGGGTTTTATAGGTTAGAATGGTGAATTGTGCGCAGAAACGGATCGGCAGCTGGTGGAGCTGCTGTAACAGGGTGTTTTCTGGGTGTGATCCTTGCAACCGGCCCCTGTTTAGATCGAGCATCCCGTCTTGTCTGCGTAGCATCTTTTTCTGGCAGCTACACAAGTGCAAGACACGTTGACGGGATGCAACCGGGGATCTAGGTAGAACCTCTCGGGGTTCCCAGGACAAGGCCTGCGGTAAAAAACGAGGACGTGGTGATGGACAGCGACGGAATTTCCGTTCAGCTCTTGCTGACAATACAGGCGTTCGTCGCCGGGGCCGGCCTTGCAGGAAGCCAAGGAGACGCACCGGTGACAGCTGCAACGGGCCTGCCAAAGCCGCTGAGGGTAGCGTTGGTTGTCAAAATCCTCCCTGTGGGAGACAGCAAGGAAAGAATCCAGTTATCTCTGTGTTCTGTGTCTCTATCTCTCTGATTGAATGGGCCAGAAGGTGGCTATAGATGTGGGATCTGCATTCAAAGTGGAACCTAATAGGATTTTCCCAGTAAGTAAGGAGTGGTGTGTACAGTGGTGTCGCCAGTGACACTCCCCATGAGGTTCTATGGCTGATCAGGAATTCGAACCCAGGTCTCCTGCATCCCAGGCTATCATTTTATCCGCTGCGGCACATCGGGTCTCTATCCACCTTTTTGGGTCATTTCAACGATCAGCCCAGCTTTGCAGACCATTCTTTTTTTCCTAGTTTATTTTATTTTATTTTTAACCATTTGGCTAAGTTCCAGAGTTTGTGGGGGAAGTTCCAAACTTCAACTCCCAGAATTCCGCACCAACGGTCATGCTGGCAGAGGGATTCTGGGAGTCGTTGTCAAAAAAAGAGCAATCAACAAGAACTTCCCCATGCATTCTCAAAATGTGGTCCTTTCGAATTTGAGAGAGGAAGAAGGGCTCGGCTGGAACTGGTCGAGATTCTGCAGCTCACTGGTAGAGGAACTACTCTGGGGAAAGAGGTTCGCAGGTTCAATTCCTGGTATCGGAGATGAAGGCAAGGCTGAATCCTCCCTTCAATCCATCGAGATCCACTGGAGATACCGTATTTTTCTGTGTATAAGACGCCCCCATGTATAAGACGCCCTCCCCCACTTTTATAATCCAAAATTAAGAAATCTAAATGGGGCTTAGCAAGTGTAGGGGGAAAGGGATCAAAGCACTGCAGGATCGCTTTGATCCCTGCTTTCCCGTCCACTTGTTTTTGTTCTCAGCTTACTTCCGTGTATAAGACGACCCTCAATTTTTAGTCTAAAGATTTTAGACAAAAGTATAGTCTTATACACAGAACAATACAGTAGTTATAGGTGGCACTGCTGGACGAGGTGCACTCATGCCTTGACTGTGTTTTAAAACTCCCTCCAAAAGCCTTCACTGCTTTTGCTCTGCCGCCAACTGGTGTTCACAGCTAGACTGCCATAGACATGGAGGTTCTACACATAGCTGTCATGGTTAAGAAGCTGTGAATGACCTCTCCTCTTCCAGGACTCTTTATTTTAAAATTTAATTTATATATTGTCCCGTTAGTGCAACAGCACTGTCCAGGGTGATTTAGCCACAGGCGACGACAACCTATATTAAACAAACAGGTAAGCACTAAAATTAAAATACTAACAGTATAAAAACCAAACAGCACCAGAGACGGTTTCCTGATCATAGGAAGACAGGAGGTGAACCGTCAACTGTTGGTGTGAAAGATCTCCCTGGAAGGCAATGTTTTCAGTTGTGTCTTAAATGACAACAGGGAGGGAGCTGGTGTAACTCCTCTGTAAGTTGGTGCCATAAGTTTAGTGCCACCGCGGAGAAGGCTCTGCCTTTTGTGGGCCTCCCTTTGGGGTGGCTACCAAGAGCCGCCCAGCCTGGGACGATCTGGTGGGTCGTTGGGGAGAGACGCTCTGACCAAGAGCATGCAAAGTTCATGTTTATAGGACCTATTTTGTGTGTGTGTGTGTGTGTGTGTGTTTTATTAGAACCCCAAGAGGCATCAACAGGAGCAAAAGAGAAGCTCCCCACAACTTCCCCACCAAAAAAACCCACACCCCACTTCTGAAATATAGCCCAAAGCCTAGCAGCGCTCCCACCTCCCATTTCTGCCTTCCCCCTTTTTAAGCCCCTCTACCAGGACAGAAGACCACAGGAAACGTACATGCTAGCTACTCTTTTGAGGGTGGTGGAATGGGGTAGCTGTGTTAGGCTGTCACAATAAAAATCATAAAGAGTCTTCCGGCATCTTGAAGACTAACACGTTTTACCAGGCTCACCCTTCCCCAGACTCCAGCCCATGAGCATCGAGTGAAGTGGGCTTCTGTCCTCAAAGGGAAAAACATTGCTGGTCCTTAAAATGCCAGAACACCCTCTGTGGCTTTTACTGTTGTAAATAAAATAGAAAGAAGACGCCTGCCACACATTTTTAGAGGAAGAGGAAGAACTCAAATGCTTCCTTCACCAAGGAAATATGGGCTCCAGGATATCTGCAAGCCGGGAAAAAGATTATATGAATCATTGAGCAAACAGACAAACCATGTTTACCTATAGATCCCACAAACCATGTTTATCTGTACATCCCACAAACCATGTTTATCTGTAGATGCCACAAACCATGTTTATCTGTAGATCCCACAAACCATGTTTAACTGTAAATCCCACAAACCATGTTTATCTGTACATCCCACAAACCATGTTTAACTGTAAATCCCACAAACCATGTTTATCTGTAAATCCCACAAACCATGTTTATCTGTAGATACCAATCGGATGGAAGGAAAGGTAGAGAAAGGCGGTAGACCTTGGTGGACTGGTGTCCATATGGAGGGAAATACCGGGTTAGGTTTGGACTGGGTTGAGCAATGGCAGTCTTCCAGGTACTGCTGGACTACAAGTTCCATCAGTTCCAGCCCAGAGAGCCAATGCTGCAGCCCAACAACCCCTGGAGGGCCACAGATACCCAGCCCAGTCTTAGATGTAATTAATGGATTCCCCAGCTATCGTCAGAGCTTGGAAAAGTTAATTTAAATTCCCAAGAAAGTTATCTGGGGTTTTCTGGGAGTTATAGCCCAACAGACAGTATTCACTGAGTTTTACGCGTCATGGGCTTTGTAATCCAACACTCCTGGTGGGCACTGCATCTGGGGTGGATGCTCTTGAAGGACAGCTGGACTTACATGACGCCCAGGCAGAATTATGGGATGGTTGGGTAGCTCGAAGTTAACCCCTTCTTTGTACTTACACATATTCCCAAGGAGAGGTGGATCGCTTGCTCGAGGGTCCTTCAGACGTGGCTTGGCAACTTTTGGAAGAAGACATGGGCTCAGAATGGGCTGATCTGAATTCGTCCTGGATCCGCTTCTCAAAATGGCCGATTTCGGTATTGTGACAGCAGTTGTTTGTCGAAAAGCAGCCTTGGGCTCGATAAGTCAGCAGCGCGGAAAGCAGAAAGCCAGAGACCCCGATCTGCGAGAGAGAAATGGAAGGCGGTCCAGAAAGACAATATGGGTTTGTTTTGTCTTTAAATGTCACTTTGCGGAATTCAGCCGTAAAGGAAAAAAGCAGCCCTGACTACAGCTCCCAAAATCCAGCACTGGCTGGGAATTCTGGGAACCGTTGTCCAAGGCAGCAGCCACATTCGTCCGTGGTCACAAATGCAATAAAGAATCTCATGAGCCACTCAAATGCACCACGAGACTCTTTGTGGTCCACAAAAGTCCCAGATCAGCTCATGCTGACCTGTAATTAAACCGTTGGTTCAAATAACAATAATATAACTGCATTACGTTAACAACAACAATAGCAACAACAACAACAGTGCCTTGTCAAGTCTATTCTGACTTTATAGCAACCTTTTCCAGGGTTTTCCAGGTTAGAGAAGACTCAGAAGTGCTTTACCCTTCCCTTCCTCTAGGGGCACTCTGGGATGATGGCGCAGCTGGCCCAAGGCCCCCCAGGTTGGCTCTTTCTCCCAGAAGGCACCGTGGGGGAATCGAACCCCCAACCTCTGGGTCTGCAGCCAGAGATCTAAACCCACTGGGCTCTCCAGCTAGCATGTTACATTGGGACTGTAACTTAACGAGAGACAAATGTCAGATTATAACAGGCTGCTGAGTTGTCCCCGACGTTTGGTGTCCCTCATTAGGCTCTCTATCTGCACACAACAGCCCTGCGGGGTAGCTGAGGCAGGGAGAGCAGGCCTGGCCAAGGTCACCCAGAGAGGTGAACAAAGGTTTCAACCCAGGTCTCACGGAACCACTCCCCTGCTCTAACCCAGTGGGTTCCGAATCTTGGTTCCCCAGGTGTTTCTCGGACTGATGCTCCCAAAAGCCTTCACCACTCATGGTGCTGACCAAGATTTATGGGAGTGGTAGTCCAAGAACATCTGGGGACCCAAGGTCTTTCGTTTGTTCCCTCTGTGCAATGGTAGAGCCGGCCTTGATGCCAGCCTTGGTTTCTTTTAAAATATCCTGTCTTGCCACGGGTGCAGTTAAGCTCCTATGGCGTGAACATCTACGCGCCTCTCCGCCACCCCTGTGATTTCTGGGTTCTCGCTTAGAGAATTAAGATCTAGACTTTGGTTCACACCTAATGGCCGTAATTGAATCGATCACCCGAATAAGAGGATGTAGCCCAGTAACTTTCATCAGTGTCACAAGCATTGATGATGGTCCACCTTAAGCTTCGTTGTCACCTTAGAACTGCGAAGCTGTAGGGACCCTGTCAAGAAGGCACAGTGGGGAATCGAACCCCCAGCCTCTGCAGCCAGAGGTCAAAACTGCTGATCTGTTTTGGCCTACAGATCCTAGACCCCGCCTGCAAGGACAGCCTAACTGGGTTTGGGAGCCATAGGCCAGAACAAGCCCTCTCGGAAGCCAGGAAGCCCTATCTTCTTTGCAAAGTGGAAGGACCACGTTTTGGAGAACTTACCCATCGGATATGGCCCATGTTGGATTCCCTGCGGTGCTTCCTATCTCCGGACGGCTCAGACCTCTGCCTGGTGCTCCGAGCCCGGAGATTCCCATTTTTATCGCCGGCAAGGTATCATTCATGCAAACTCTGTGGGTGGACCGACTCTTCCTGGATACGCATAATCAATGTTTTGTTCCAACACCACTGTTTTTGAAATAGGATGAAATAAAGCTGGCCAAAGGGGGTCCCTTTTATCCAGATTCGTGGGGGGTGGGGGAAACTTTCAATGGAGCCTTTGCACCTCAGCACCGTTGCTGTTGGGTTTGGAAATAGAGGTTCTAGGTTAAAATCAGAGGAATCTCCAGCTTTAAGCTACTTGATTCATGCCCTTCTTCATTATTTCCTGCCCTCACTTTTTTCATTGGTGCCATAAGGTTTATGGGTTTAAACCTAAATACCCAAGAACAGGAATAAGGTCTGTGATCACCTTGGGGATTGAACTGTAAACCCACCCTTCAAATGTCATTTCCCCCCCCCACTAAGGACTTCTACTTTTTTTCAAGCCAGAATAATTCAAATGGGCTTTCCCCCATGCAATCTGTTGTTTCATTTTCCAAAAGGACAGGGAGGCATGGTTGCGGGTGCTATTCTGGTGGTGTACTAAGCTGCGTGTGATGTCTGGATAGTGGGAACACCAACTCCTGAAATTTTTTCCCCTAGTTCCTCCAAATTCATTTGTTTTAAAATAAGACTACTGAGTTTAGCGCTATGTCAGATTATCGCTACACAGAGTTACTAGTTTAGCGTTATACTGTATCAGATTATCACTATGCAGAGCTACTAGTTTAGCGCTATATCAGATTATCGCTACGCAGAGCTACGAGTTTAGTGCTATATCAGATTATCACTATGCAGAGCTATTCGTTTCGCGCTATATCAGGTTATCGCCACGCAGAGCTACTGGTTTAGCGCTATATCAGATTATCATTACGCGGAGCTACTAGTTTAGCGCTATATCAGATTATCATGGACAAAGAAAAAAGATAGAATGCTATATCAGATTATCGCTACGCAGAGCTACTAGTTTAGCACTATATCAGATTATCATTACGCAGAGCTATGAGTTTAGCGCTATATCACCTCAGCATGGACAAAGAAAAAAAGATAGAACTTGAGATGAAATAGAAATAACTCTGATGGACTACAGCCGACTTCTATGTATCCATCGTATGTTTATATGTGTGTTTGTATGTTGTGGGAAACTTTGGGAAACTGTCCTTTTTCTGTCGTGCAACACTTTAAAGGGAGGGGCAGGTTGCTTCCGAGTCCTGAATTTAGTCTGAGTCAGTGAAAAACAAACAAGAACCCCAAGTGGGCTCCAAGTCAAATTCAGCCCGTTCCCACCCTAAATTTCAGCAAAGTCATGCTGGCTTAGAAGAGTTAAAAACAAGATAAAGAAAGCACCCCAAACTATCTGAAGGTAGTCTGGAAAAATCCGTGGGGTTTTCAGAAGGGGGCTTCAGAATTTGCCAGGAAGGTACCAGTCCAAATTCTGGGAGCAGGGAATCCAAAAGCTTTCAAAATTTGAACAAAGTTGAAACTTGAAAAAGTCAGAAGCCCCATATGCCTGTTCAAGGCCAATTCTCCAAGACCAGAACAGCAATTTTATAGCATAAGATCAACTTCTCCCACCCAGCCCAAATTTGAAAAGAAACCCTAAAACGAACCCGTAAATGAAACCTCAAAATAATCCTTGTCAGAGAGCTTGCACGGGCTGGGGGGGAGGTGGATTAGTTTTGGACTACAGTCCCCCAAATCCCCAGCCAACATGGCCATTGGGAATTGTAGTCCCCCTCAAAAAAAACCCCACACAACTCCACCATTTTGTAGTTCATCTTTTTCATCTTGGGAGGAGGACTCACCGAGTGAAATTCTTGAGGGAATCTTGACATTTTGTTGCTCTCTCAGTGTGGCTTTTGGGCTATAATGTTAAAAAAAAACATTTGGTCTACTCTGCAGGCTTGTTGTGTAGGCACTGGAGATGTTATATGTGTTGTAGTTGTTAAGGATGACGGTTTCCCCCCGCTTCTTCTCTTCCAGCCTATTAGCTCTGACTGAAATCTGTCTGCCAAAATTTGGCCTCTATGCCAAAAATTTGGGGTGCACATGCTCCCGGGGGGGTCACATTCTACTCCTAGCACCCTCCAGGGGCATATGAATCCCTGGGGAGGTTTGGAAATGGGGGAAAACTCAGCAAAAACAGAAAGAGAAGTTAAAGAGAAAAAATTTTTTTTAAAGGTGTGGTGATTCAGACCAAAAAGAAAAAAAAAGGACTTCCAAGAACAGTCTTTTGAATATGAGAAATTGTTTTTTCCATAGTAGGATGTAGTCTCTGAGGGGAGGGGGGGGAAATAGCTTTTCATGGACCAGAAGCAACCCTCAGGTAAAATGCAACCCACCCACTTCTAATTTAATCCGGGGAACCTCCTGGCACAATATTAAACAAATGCGTAGGGATATCCCCTATAGCAACCAGATTAAAGTGTTTATACAAATATTGATGGTTGAAGGGTTTCCTTGTGGTTATGAAAAGCCTGATTAGCTTTTGAGGCTTTGGTGGTTTCTTTTTTTTTCCAGGATTCCCTCAGTCACAAGTACTTCCTGCAGATGTTCTACCCTGGCACGTTCTCCCTCAGAAAACCCCATTTACTCCTGAGTCATTCAGTAAAATAAGGACCCCCGGACAATTGGTGGCCTTTAAACGGAAGATGGTACTGTCAACTCCGGTGACTAACTGCTCATTTCCAAATAATTCCTACTCGTAGTACATGTGTAGAAGGAGTTTTGATTCCTCACTATGCCTCCTGGGAAAAAAGCCAGCATGTGTGAACTTTTGGACACATGGCACAGTCCCAAGTTGCCCCTAGAAGAATCACAGAGTCATAGAATAATTTAGTTGGAAGGGGCCTATTTGCCCATGAGTCCAACTCCCTACTCAAGACAAGAAACCAAGTCAAAACAGATCTGATAGATGGTTGTCCAATTTCCCCTCAAATGCCTCAAGCGTTGGAGCGCTGGCCACCTCCTGAGGTAATTGGTTCCATTGTCATACTGCTCTAACAGTTAGGAGGTTTTTCGTAATATTCAGCCTAAATCTGGCTTCCTGTCACTTGAGCCCATAATTACATGTCCTGCACTGTGGCATGATCGAGAACAGATCCTGCCCCTCCTCTGTAGGGCCGCCTTTCAAGTACAGTAGTGCCTCGCTTAACGAGCGCCTCGTATAGCGACGAATCCGCATAGCGATCCCTTTTCTGGGATTGCTAATGCGGAGGCATAGGGTCGGCCCCAATGGGCGAAACTCGCATAGTGGAGATCGGTAAGTGTTTCGCTTACCGATCTTCGCTTTGCGACGCCCGAAAATCAGCTGTTCGGCAGCTCCAAAATGGCCGCCGGACGCCCTAAATGGCTGCGCACAGTGTTTTCGCGCCCTCCCCTCGCTTACCAAGGGCGCAAAAATGGCTGCCGGACCCTGGAAACTTTGCTAAATGGTGAGTTTTGCGCCGATTTGGTTCCAATGGCTTTTTACTTTCCGCTTAGCGAAGTTTTCACATAGCGAAGGTTAATCCGGAACGGATTAACCTCGCTATGCGAGGCACCGCTGTATTTGAAAGATGCTCTCCGATCTCCCCTCCGTCTTCTTTTCTCAAGGCTAAACTTGACCAGTTCGTTCTGTCTTTCCTCGTAGGGTTTGGCTTCCAGCCTCCTGATCATCCTTGTCGCCCTTTTCTGAACTCATCCCAATTTGTCGGCATCCTTCTTGAAGCGTGGTGTCTCCAGACCTCGCTATGCGAGGCACCGCTGTATTTGAAAGATGCTCTCCGATCTCCCCTCCGTCTTCTTTTCTCAAGGCTAAACTTGACCAGTTCGTTCTGTCTTTCCTCGTAGGGTTTGGCTTCCAGCCTCCTGATCATCCTTGTCGCCCTTTTCTGAACTCATCCCAATTTGTCGGCATCCTTCTTGAAGCGTGGTGTCTCCAGATAACCAGTGCCAACGAGGGGGGAACTATTACCCCACAGGAGATGGAGACTACTTATGGGTACTCCGTACCTGGAAAACACTGGAAGGGGTTGGTATAACTCAGAACCGACTTGATGCACATGATTATTATTTTAAAAGACACTACAGAGCTGCTGCAGGAGCGGCCTTAATCCCGGTTTTCTTCTAAGGAGCTGAAGATGGCACACACGGCTCTGTTCTTCTCCGCTTCATCCTCACAACAATCCGACAAGGCAGGTTGGCCAAGAGACAACTTCTGGCCCACCATCGCACACTGAGTGTCTTGACTCAGTGGGGAATTCAAACCCAGTTTTCCAAGTCTCATCCGACATTCTAACCATTCTGCAAATGCTGGTCCTCTTTCTTTGTTCAGATCTATCAGGGGAAAACTCAGCACAAGTAATTGCGGGCAGGTATTTTCACAGAGCTTGTAAATCCAGAAATGGTGTAACAGCTAGACTAGGAATCAGGAGAGCTGGGCTCAGATCCTTGTTATAGGATTTGAACTCAAATTCTAGGAATACTCTCAGGAGTAGGGTTGGCAATTGTAAGCCACTCCTTGAACGTCTGATGTAGCTCAAAATTGCTGAGCTGGCTGGGTAGCTCAGTGGTCTAGGGATCTGGCTGGGAGTTCGGTTCCTTACGGTGCCTCCAGGGAGTAAAGCCAGCCTGTGTGGCTTTGGGCAAGCTGCACAGTCCCAGGATGTCTCCAGAAGAAGGGAATGGTAAACCACTTCTGTGTATGCTCTATCTAGAAAGCAAGAAAGGGTTGCCGTAAATCAGAATTGACTTGACGACAGATTATTATTATTCATGGGAGAAAGCCAACAGGATTAAAAATTTGATTTTTTTGAAAAAAATTATTCATGTCTAAACATTAATGTTAAAAAACATTTAACAAAATCTAACAAATAATTAACCAAAAAAACCCCCACAACTAAACATCCCTCCTTCCCCTGTGGATCAGAGATTTCATC